CCGAAGAGTACTTGAATACTGCAACCGGTTTTAGGCCTGACCTCAAACACACGGCTAATAATTCTGATGATGTATACCGAGGTAGCACTGGACACGTACCAGATAGATATAACTGGGTACTTAGGGGTGCAGTCACATCCGTTAAGTATCAGAGAAATGTATGTATTATTTAAAATGTATTTTATTTATATTTATGTTTTAATTATATTTTGATTTTTGTTTATATTTTCACATAAAGTGTGCCTCGAGTTGGGCTTTCAGTGCAATCGCCGCCATTGAAAGTATGATTAAAAACATTTATTTACTCCATAAAGATATTTAAAGCATATTTTAAGCTTATGTGAAAATAGTTGTGTTATTTGTGTACAATTGTCACATGAGATATGAGAATAATAAGGATTAACTAGGTATTAATAAATCTAAGATGCAGAATTATATACAACTGATACAATTCTTAACTAATAAATGATTATAGTTATTATTGCTTAACAAAGGTTAAGTATAATTCAAAACCATGAGATTAATACATAATAGAAATCAATAAAATAAGACTAGATCATTATAAATAATAAAATATTAAACTAATCATCAATAATTAGGTCAACTGGTAATAAGCACCGGGAAAAAGGTGGACCTCTCGGAGCAAAATCTCATCGATTGCTCGGAAAACCAGGGAACTAAGGGCTGTAGTGGCGGCACACCGGACAGGGCCTACCAGTATGTCATACAAAACGGGGGTCTGGACTCCACCGCCTCCTACCCCTACAAAGGTCTCAAAAACGCGTGTCATTACAAACCGGACAAAAGCGCTGTCATAACCGGCTATAAGTCGGTACAGGCGGGCAATGAGGAGGTGCTCAAGGATGCCGTCTATAACATCGGTCCCATATCCGTGGCTATAGACGCCTCGCCCTTTGGTTTTCAGTTTTACAGCTCCGGTATCTTTGAGAGCACGGACTGTAGTAATAGTCGGGATAAACTGAATCACGCGCTCACTATCACGGGCTATGATGTGGACGGTAGGCGCGACATATGGTTTGTGAAAAACTCGTGGGATAGGACTTGGGGTGAGGCCGGGTATGGCGTAATGAGTAGGAATAAAGGTAATCAATGTGGAATTGCCACCTCTGCAACTTATCCGACGGGTGTACAAGCTAATTTGAACAGAATGCTAGTGTATTAAAGTATTGTTACTATATTTTATTAAATTATTTATATTTTTAATAATATCTAAAGATTTATCACATAATACTGTATTAAATGTAAATCATATAACTCTGTGATATAAATATGAAAGTTCAATAAATAAAACCTTTATGAATTAAAATTATTTAATCATAACTATAATCGTACTCTACCTGTGCATGTATATATGTACTAAATGGTACGGTGTTACAAATAATGTACTCCAAATACTATTATTATTACTGGAATTTGTACAATACTTGTATTATATTTCATCTGATTTCTGATAAATTATATCTAAATCCTTTTATTCAGCAAAATTTTCTGGATGTCCTTATATTCTTTGAACAATTGATTGCATTTTAATATATAATTATTAAGCAAATTCCTAAAACTAAGAGACAACTTGTCTGTACTTAATTGTGTAACTTTTGCCCTGATAATGGGTTCACTTTACCAGTATATAGATTTAATGCTGTATCATTACCGTATACTGGTACTATTAAATATCTAGTATATTTATTAGATTGTCTTAAATGTTTTATATTAATTAAATAAAAAATGTAAATTATATTTTCAAATAATTATTCGATTCTTTAAAGGGAATAAAAATTTTAGTTTAAACATGTGTTACAAACAAATAAAAATTAATTAATCAACAAACTTTTAGCGAGTAAATAATTTTTATAAATAAATAGATAGGTGCAATTAATTAAAAAAAAGTTATTTATATTTATTAAAGCTTTTTTAAGAGATTTTATAAGCATTTTTATATTTTAAAAATTGCTTGCTCTAGTTTTAACAAGTTGCATTTTGAGTAATTTGCTTGTCAAATATATTTTTAAGACAAATTATACACACTTTTATACAAAGCATATGTTTTAAAGAATAATAAATTGAAGTTTTCATTATGTTTTTTATCAATAAATACACCAATATTTTAGTAAAAAAATAGATTTACAAAAAATAATTAACTTACTAAATTTTAAAATTCATGGCTATACTTGTTTTAATAAAGTTTTATATTGTGTGTATAAATC